AAAAAAATATAATTTAACGAAAAATAAAATACAAAAATACTTTTTCATTCATTACTTTTTCAGGTTTTACTAGTTTTATGTTGTATTCATTATTATGTAGTCATAAACCCCTTCCTCTCAATCTCTGAAGACGTCTTCATAGTTACCATAGAATGTCATACAAATTATTAACACTATTTTTTGTGTTAAATTATGTGAATCTTGTTTTTCTAAACAATTTCTAAATTCAGTTTCAATTAAGGATTTTTATTGGTATCTAAATTGAGTTTGCATTTCATTGCAATATTTTTTATCGATTTTTAAAATTAGTTTTTGTTTATTTTAATCAGATTTTCTCGTCTGACTTTCAGACTATTAACACATATTTATTAAACACTGTTTTAATCATTAAATTGTATAAAAAATTTCAAAATGAGTTTAGATTTTGTTTCTATGAAAACAAATATTTTATAATTTAAAATACGATTAAATTTATTTCTTTTATAAATATAAAAGTTTATCAAAAACTAAATTTAACGCTAAATTATTATCAAACAAAATCACATTAAAAATGTTAATGACTTAAACTCGAGATTTATTTTTACATAAATTATGTAAATTAAAATTTATTCAATTATAAATGAATTTTTAAATATATCTAATAAAATATTTGTAATCCCTTTTGAATAGTTTCATCGGATTGTAGTTTTCAACAGTTTGAATGTCAAGACAAAAGCAAATGTATACCACTTTCGTGGAGGTATTTATGATTTATTACTGCATTTCATAAATATAATAATTGTTTCATAAATTATAAAAACTAATTGTATTTCCAATGATAGATGTGATGGCGATGTCGACTGTCTCGACAACTCAGATGAGTCTCAATGCCGTAAATGATTGCTATTTTTAATTTAATTATTATTGAAATCACTTTATATTTCTCAAGAATTTTGATGTTTTTCGCAAAGACTTGTATTTATGGTGTGTTTTCTCTTTGTTTTTGTGCATATTTTTGCGCAAATATTATTGAAATATAAATAACATATTTATTTATCAATACATAATCGTTTGCGTTAAGACTTTTTTCTCACTATTTTTCTCGCTAAACGTGTGAAATGAATGACAAAGTGTTTACGTATTTAATTTAAATGAATTATTTATTTGTCTATTAATTATATTTTGCTATTTTTGTAAATATTTTTAACAATTATTCCGTGAAATAATTCCCATCAAAATGATTGCCAAACAAATCAAGTGATCAAATGATGTAATACTTGAGAGCGTTTACATCAAACGATTGCAATAATTGTTACAATAATCGGGCGTTTAATACAAAGTTTATATTGAATTAAAATATCATTAGTATTGAAGAGTAATTAGAGTTAGTGTTAAATTTACATTCATTATTAATCCCACGTTTGAATGGAAATAAGGGTTTAATTGAAAAGTAAATGGTATAGAAATGGACCTGGAGCGCAAACAATTTGCACCTTGATAGATTAGTGTATTCATTATGTAATTGAAACATTTGCAGTCATATACAGTATATACACGCCTTTCACTAACTTTGCTCACAAACAATAGTCATGTAATGAACAAAAAATATTTCAAATATGCCTTCACTTATAAACCATACCTTACTTTAAATGCAATTCAATTGTGTATTTAAAATGCAAAAAAATAAAATGTTTTCAAAGAAAACACTAATCCTTGAAAAGTCTGAGCGATTTGTCGGCGACACTAATACTACAATTAAATGTAAATTTGTTTTTATTTTCCTGAATTGTATGCAAAATATTATATGTTTTG